GCTGCGGGCTGAGGTCATCGTTGGCGAGCTCAACACGTGAGTCCGAGGTGGCAACGATTCCAACATGCCTGTGGAAGACGGAGCGGGCTGAATCATCCGTCTTCTCGCAACGAATACCGATACGGAAAACAGTCGACAACGGAGACGGCAGAAACAGAATATCTCTACCAAAGCCTAGAGAACCGCGATTCCATCCGCATTCTTTATCTTGAGCCGGCCGAAGGACACCAAGATGAGCTCCGAGGATCAATGGTCAACACAATGCTCTGGGATCACTTTCAGAGCCTTCTCGAACCCTATACTGCCTTATCATATGTCTGGAGATGCTAGGAGAAAACCCACGCCATCTAGCTTGATAGGCGGCACATGGGAATTACAGCATCCTTGGACAGTGCGCTCCGCAACATGCGCGATGCCATTGTCCCGCGCCAACTCTGGGTGGACGCGCTTTGCATCAATCAGCTTGATCCGGAAGAAAAGGCCGTCCAAGTGGCCCTGATGGGGAGGATCTGCTCGACTGCCAGCCATACGATCATACATCTTCCTTTTGTAATACCCGAGGTTGAACGCCTTATGACAACTGCGCTGAACCTCGGCGGTAATCGGTTATTTGCCCCAAAGAATCCCCAAACAGAAGCAGACTTGGAAGAGGCAAGGAGGCAGATATTGGCAGCGCCGTGGTTCACCAGAGCCTGAGTCTTTTAAGAGCTGGTTCTCTAGCGCGATCCATGGGTTCAAACCAGCCGTACTTCTCGCGCTCGGTGGTCAGATTTTTGCAAAGTCATTGGGCCGGAGCGTCGTCTCGGCCATGCAGCAGATGATCCTAGGAGTCAACATGCTAGAACGCCACCCCACCCGTTCATGAGGATGACTGAACCACTCAGTCGGCTGTCCTCCGCTCCCCTCCGCTCCCCTCCGCTCCCTACTTGCTGCACGAAGAGGCATCGGCACGACGGACCCGCGAGATATTCTTTATTCCAACTTCGGTATCGTCTCAGACTTGGGAGACATTAGCAAGTACGTCAAGGTCGACTACTATAGGTCCATTGAAGATCTGTTCTGCGACACAGCAAGATACATCCTTGGAACAGCCGGGCTCAACATGCTCATCTTCCATGCTCTGGGGGGTGTCAAGGAGGAGAAAGTGAATGGCCAAGTCCCGAATCTGCCGTCGTGGCCTCCGGACTTTACCCGTAAGGCTGGTACAAACCCTTTAAACAACCAGAAGCCACGGCAAATGGCCTTCGTTTCAGGCTCGGCAATGAGGGACCCGATCGGCTTCGGCGCCTTTTCGGGGAACCTCCTTATCCAGGACGGAATCGACCTCAAGAAGATCTCCCACGGACATGACAAAAGGCTCCGAGTCATCAACCTCCAAGTCAAGGGTGTTTGTTCATCACCTCATCACGGATGATCCTCCGACTCTGAGCTTCACAGGAATGGCCTGGGATATCATCCAAGCTTTGAGCCCGGCGATGCCGGAATTTAAGCTTACTCCCTTATGTACCTGGTACTCCCGTGGGATCCACCAGAAATCCATTAGCATCCATGTACGCCACGCCGCTGAAGACGTATCAAGAGTCACGGGCAAATCCGCGGGCCAGCCGTGGCGAATCTGAGGCTTGCGCGGCCGCGTAAAGTAGGTAAGTACGTAGGCAGATGAGATGCTGGAGAGGCGAGGCGTTACTGGGAACCGCGAAAGGAATTGAAATTTGCCACCGAAAACAACTTGGACTGACTGCTGGATTTGTTACTTGTGATGAGCCCTGTGCATGAGGTTGCAGAAACAATGCCAACAATGGTGATTCTGAGCCTACCCAAACAGTCCACGCATTCCGCTCTCTAGCCATATCTCAATCCAAACCTTCCATTTTATTTCCAGTACACATCATCCAGCGCGCCTAGTTATTTCGTCGCAGATTTCTGGTATGCCACCGACACCTCTTCCTGTGCCCCCTGTTATCGCGTTCTCGGATCGTCTCGTAGTTTGCCAGACAGTCGTAGCAGAACTCGTGCTTGCAAATGATGCCTGTGATGAAGAAAGACGTTGGCCACTACTGGATCGCCAAGTGAGTCCAAAGATCCCTAGCCGCATCTGCGGTGTCTTTCCCAGCTCCTGAGACACTTCCAGCAGAACTGGTGCGAGCACCTTATGCCTAGATGTGGAGAGCCGACTTGAGCGTCGTACTTGGACAAACGAGGCATTGTGAGAAGGACACGGGGTGGGGGGACAAAGAACATTGTTCTGCATTTGGGTGGAAGGGAGTGGGTTGGCTAGATGCACGCAATCTGAGCAAGATGGTGACGCGTTGCGTGATGGTCTGCAGTTTGGAAGGGAAGAATGGAAAGCTGCAAACCTTGGAAAGCAGAGATCTGGCTGAGAAACGCAGAAAGAGGCGGGATCTAGGCCCCACTGCCTCACAGGCAGGTGATGGCATCAAGCCACGCAGGGAAGGAGCAAGAGGATAAGTGAAAGAGCTCTTACAGGTCATATGCGCGCTGCAAATGGCAAGTCAGTCACGATCAGCTACGCCGATGTTACAGCCAGGAGCGAGAGCTCACCATCCTTGGTTCTTCTCAATCGCCCAGCCGCACCCGGGGCATTTCTTCGTCGTGCGATTCACCATCGCCTCGCTGGCCCTGTTCTCCCACGCTCTTGCTGCTATAACAGCTGCGGCTTGGGTCTTTGCTGCTGCCACCTTGGCGTCGCGCTCCACTTGCTCGTTCTCGATCTCGAAGGCGGGGCGGAAGTTATGCGGATCCGCCAGCAAGCAATCGTACTCCTCACAACTCAGGGTCTCGTGCCACGGTACGCGATGTCGAAAGCAGTATTTATGACTGCATGCGATGCAAGTGACGATTGGAGCGCTATCTGGGGATTCCTGGATTTGGCCTGAGCCGCAGCCGGAACCGAGACAGCTGAACCAGTTGTCTTGCTGAGAAATCGCGTCGTTGAGGAGACGCGCGTCGTACTTTTTGAATGTCTTGCTGTCGGCATAGAGTCGGACCTCGTCGTATTCCATCCCGCTGTTGCATTCTGGGCAGGTGACAACCCTGGCGTGCCATGCCTTCTCGTCGATCGCTATTTTGATATGCCGCTGCAAACATTCCAGGCAGGTTGCGGGCGGATGGTTACAGTTGTTGCTGACGGACGAGAGGGGGAAGCTGGATTTACCTTTGGATTCAGCGCAAACAACGCAGTCTCTTTCCTGTCGATATTGCCAGAACAGGATCGAGAGCCCAAACAGGGTCGTGAGCCCAAACATAGTCGTGAGACCAAACAGGATCGAGGTTCTTTGAGATACGCCAAGTCCAGTCGACTGATATCCGCAGAATATCGAACTGAGCTTCTGCGCGAGCCAAGCCATTGTGGACTTGGAGCTTGCCGAGGGAGAATTTGAGGTGCGAGAAACGTGAAGAAATAGAAGAAAGGAAATTCTCGCAGAACGAGAAGCCACATCCTGGAAGCCTGCCTAGAGCACCAGATGATAAGGCCTCTGTGGCGATTGGGGGGGGGTGGGGGGGCTGTCGGGCCACTCCCATCTCGACCACTTTGTGAGACGTGTGTTGGTTCGGTGACTGTCATCAATGACTACAAAGGTGAATGGGGCAAATCCCGGCAAGAGGGCCTCGGCCATTCTAAATGCAGTAATAACCATACTACCTGCCTAACCTGTGGGACAGACATGACCACCCGTCTAAGCTTTGCCCCCCCCAGAATTTCTGTCGACCTCCAATTGCTTGTCAAGATACTATGGCTCTAATTCGCAGTTATTTAGGGTTGATAGACTGGGATGGGACCAGTTTCAGGCCTGGTCTGGTGAAGGTGGCCTCCTGGCCGTCTAGACTTCAGCGGCTCTGATTGGCGGCCTAATTAGTCGGAGGGGCGGTGCTGCCCCAGTGAAAATGCATAATGTTTGCATCGCCCGGGCCTCTGCGTTCAGGTAGTGCGCGGTCATTGTCTCTTGATGATCTTCAAAGGTGGCGCCGTCGCGTGGCTGCTGTGTAAAGAGATGCACCGAGGCTAGGTTCCCAACGGAGGCATCCATGACAGGAAGGGCCCAATTTCCAGGTCAGTGGGTGCAGGCAGTCGCTTTTGGATTATTAAAACTGGTTGCTCTCCGCTCGGTCAGATTTCAGGCCATCTCACCACGATTTGGTGATCGCGGTGTGGGTAATCCTGCCTATTGGCTCATCTACTACCTCTATAACCAAGTAGCCAGCAATACTTCCTTCGCTGATAATTCTATATATCGACGAAGCTCCTAGGCCTACAAACTACGGTTATTTAGGGGACTTATTAGCTGGTATCAGAAACACTGCACACTGGAATCTGTGGAATTGAAGGGGGCTGCCACTGCTTGATTGAATTGGTTGTCCCGTGCTCTGGCTTCGCCAGAGAGCTCATCCTTATAGTTATGACTAGTGGCAAAGTTGGTGGCAAATGGTTGCGTACACCAGCCGAACTGACACAGTCAGTTCAGCTCCCATTGCCACACCTTCCATGGTGTTCTGGCCAGAGGCCAGAGCCCCCTCATTCCTGACAGCTGGAGGGCTAATAAACAAGACACTGTTATTACCACATCAACAACAGAAGCAGAACTCCAGGCCCTGGCACAAGCTACAAAAGACGGTCTATTCATCAGCCGATTACTTTCTAAACTGTCTGTTCAACTAGATCAACACTATACCACTATTCTATATGACAACAAGCAAACTATTCGGCTAGCAACTGCCGAAATGGCCACCCTACAAACCATAATACAGCATGTGGATATTCACAACCATTGGCTTCGATAATAGGTTGGCTGTAGAGTAATAAAAATCAACTACACGCCACCCCTGAGTCTGATTGCCGACGGCCTCATAAAGGCTCTAAGCTTCCCACTCCACTAACGGTTCCTACAGCGAATAGGGGTTGCAGAGCCTTCAAAACTGCACACACTAATCCTCTAGACCGACCAGGTTAAACATGGGCAGCCCAGAAAACGAGCGCGCGAAGCCCCCAGAAGGAATTGAACCCTCAGCCTTTCCACGAAGGATGGAACGCTCTACCATTGAGCTATAGGAGCTTTTTGTTGGAAAGAAGGACTATAATACCACACGAAAATGTCCAGAGCTGACCTGTTATTAACTCTAAGGGGGTGTGTCAGAAAGAAGGAGATTCAGGGGCCCCGGGCATCTCGTTAACGGAGCTGACTGGATGCCTGGCACTGCCAGAGCGCCAGTGAGCCTGAGCCACCGCAGTTGCGAGGACTGAATCCTTCAAAGAACTCTATAAAAAGGGGCTTCTGGCCTCCGGCCAGAAGCAGACCAAGGCTCCATTCGAGTGTACTCGGTGGAACAAGTTTCAAGGTGTCATGGATGACTACATGGGAAGAAGTCAGGGGTAGGTCCCGTGGTTTAATGACCACATCTGGTGTAAGCGCCTCCTCTTTCATACAATTATGCCTCAAACTTCCTCATACCCATTGCTTCTGAGCACGAGGCCTCGGTGTTCGAATTTTCGATACATCGCGATAATTCGTGGCTTGCAGCCCCAACTCAAAATCCAAATGTCTCTACCGCTTGCTGACCACGCCTTAGTCAACTTCCCATTCCCGGGCAAAGTCTCTTCGAAATACTACACACTGCTCTGTCCGTACTGGTTCGGGCCTCAGTTCACCAGCCTGAAGCGACTGAAGGACGAGGCGGATGGCTTTCCGACTCTCCAAAACCAGATCGACCGATGGGGTTCAGTCCGTGTGCTGACCATCTTCCACGAGAACCACTCATTGGGACGACATTTCGTGGCCGACGTGTGGCAGCAAGCCGATGAAATAGGACCAGATCTAGGCTCCTAAGAAGATCGTGGCTGTAAGCCCTCCCCTGCCGTCCTTTATCTCCTATCGTGGCTTTGTTGGATTTCTTGTGCGGTAATTTGAGCGCGCCTGAGGCATTGCGTTGCGAAAATAGGGGCGTCGTGTTGCGTATAAAACACACCTTTTAGAGGAATCACTGACGGATACTATAGAATGCAAGAAACGGTGACAACCGGGGGTACGAACTCAACTTTCGCACTGCCCACGCCTAGACCCTTGCTGCCACAGCCGTGTGGATGATGCAGCGCTGGCCTTCGATTGGTGTTCCCCAGCCAGCGAAGAGGATCCCTCCCATGACCGAAAACACTGAGGACCCTGATAGCCACGCGGATATGACCGGCTCCATATTCGACCAATCACGCGTTGATGAGTCGAGGTTCACGCGCATGAGTCAGTTCGTGCCCAGGGGGGGGGGGGGTGACGTACAACATAACTTACTTTAACATCAGCGTACGTAGGGAAAAAGAATAAAACGATATTCTCTTGACAGTATGTGGCATTGTGCAACCGGGGCGACGAGGCTAGAGACTGCTCGTAGAATAACGATAAAACCTGGTCGTGTAAGGATTGCGACAAGCCCCCAGCCAAGTGTACGTCGGGGCTGGAGAAAGGCGGCGAGACGAGTGTTTCTCCAACCATAAGAATAGCGTCCGCAGCGAGAACGAAGTGGAGGGTGGTGTTTGTTGTACCTGCTGATTTGCATTGACGATATAACTTTGGATCAGCTTTTAGATAAGATCTAGTTTCACTGTACATAGGTGCATGTCGCACTCTTCGTAATCGATTTTCTTTTGTCTCATCGTTGGAGACAACATATGACTGTTGCGCCTCCGTACCTCCCTCCAACCCCCTTTTGACTCCACTCGAGGCATCCCCGGTTCATTCCTAGACATGACCAATGTTAACGAAAGCCAACGCCCTAACATGCCCTTCAACTCCCCTTTCAATTTCACGTAGTTAGACACCTTTGATCTCGGCGTGAATACCTCCATCAAGGACCCTGTGGCGCGCATAACATGCAAATAAAAAAACACGAGCAATCCAACATCAATAACTATTATCATGATTCCCGCCAGTGCCACTCCTATGGGCCCTTGCGCGGGTTCTGCCGCTTCCCCCCTAGCCTGAGGTACCGCGTTGGCTACTGCGGGAACGCCAGGACACATGTTGACTGCGAATTATGTCGATGGGGCCGGCGGCAACTGTTGGAGCTCGATGATTTGGAGTTGGGGGATGGAACTTGGAGGGCGGTAGGCTGGGGAATAACCGGGGTCAGGGTCGCTGACTTGGTTCTGGTTTTGGGCGGCTAGTCGGTTGCGAGGAGAGGAAATGAAGATGAAAGGAAGAGATGGGAGTTAGAGTGGAGAGCTTACAAGTCGTCGGGGAAGTCCCTCGTAAATGATGTCGGAAAAGTTGGGCAGCGGGTAGCTCGAGGTCCTGCTGGGGAGCTCCTCAGGTAAGGGGTAGGGGAAGTTGGGCGAGGAAGAGGATTGAAAACGCTCGTGAGTTGCATTCATGGTGATTTTTCCGCGGCTAGTAGAATTAGACTAGCGGAGAGTTGATGAACCGATGAAGCCGGGACCTAGGAGTGAGTGGAAAATGTTCATTTGAAGTTGACAAAGAGTTTGTGGAGAAGTTATTTTTGAAAAGGATAATTGATGGAGAGACAACCTTCCTGAGGGAAATCTGAAAAGAGAGTTCTTAACATTAGTTTGTGCTCAAGCTTTTGGCCGTAGCGCAACTTGAAATGTCAGCTTTGAACCGTATCTGCCACTTTTATAAAGTCCAAAAAGCGTAAAACTCATGGACTCCCTTGCTAGGTCGTGGAGAAGGGTAGGAGAAAATGCGGAAATGCGGAAATCACTCTAAGCCAGCTATCTAGTGGTAGGGGCCACATCGGATCAGCCACCGCTTGAAAGAGGTACACCATAATATGTTGCTAGAATAAACGATGCTCTGCGTAAGTACTCCTTGCACGAGAGCGCAGATTCCATCTCTTCAAGGGAGTCATTTAACCCCAAATATTCCAGATCATCAATGATCCCAAAACGGACACTGTCACAACCGAAACCATTGCCCTATCCCCAAATGACCACCCATCCAGAGACTGGGGCCCATCGGCCCCAGGCGGGACGGTTTGTCCACCACCTCGTCTGCATCTACGTCTATTCTTCTCTTCCTTGAAGTCCCTTCATCACCCCTTCGTACTCCTCCCTCAGCATATCATACCCAATCACCCACCGCCCCTCAAGCTGCTCAACAAAGACTTCTGTCTCCTAGCCCAAAAAAATCAGGAGTTGGGTGATGTTCCTTTCGCTTAATCCTCCTGTTAGTGTTGACTCAGTGTCCTCCGCCACCGAGCTCCTCATCCTTTCAAACTCGCCGATCATCTCCCGGAACAAGTTCCGCAGCTCCGGTACCTCAGGTCGTATGAAGGAGGGCACCAAGGCGTTCGAAGAGGACAGTGCAGAGAGCTCGCCGGCAACATCGGAAAGGAGTTCGAACGGGTCTCCAATCCAATTTGTCAGGATCTCAGCCTCCGACAGACCCGCTGGCAGCAAGTTGCCTGAGCTGGCGCGACATGTGATCGAGGTGGGCGTGGAGCATTTAGGTGTGGATTATGCGGGTGACGTGTGCTAGGGAGGCACGGGAGGTCTGAAAGAAGACTTTTCGGGTTATTGAGGGTGGAGGCAAAGGGGGTGTTTGCAGAGACGTACTACGCCAGCGTGGTTCTTGCAGAAGGAGAGCGTTTTCTCGACTTCATCCTCAATGTCGTAGCATGACTTCTAGACGGGCGTTTCGGGGAAGAGTTTATCAATGTCACACATCTCAGGGGATGGTATCTGGGCCATTTTGACTTGTGAAGGGCGGAATCCTGGTCGCTATTGAGAGGATTTCGAAGGGGTCTTTTGATTTGGAAAGCTTGGGCAGGGATCAAGTGGAGACCCGAGATAGGAGACGGTGGCAGGTCGCCTTGCTTTATGGGCCGAGCCGAAACCTGCTGCAAGTTGCTTAACCTTGCTTCCTTCAACTGGCAGCTGACGCAGAGAGATACCTAGATGCCGCAGCAAGTTGGCCAAGTGGAACCCAAGAACCCATAAAGCTAACCGTGGGCAAGCATCAAACAGCGCCGAGGGGAAATTATCGGTCATAAACATCTTAATTAGGCCCCGCGAGGGAAACTATACTCATCACTCATCCTCAACCCCTTCGCTCCCCGTCCGACCGTCATATCATGTGGCTTTGAGAAGAGCGAGGATGCCGCCAACGGCCACGATGCCAACAAGGACTAGGTAGACCGCGATGCAGGTGAGAGAGCGGCAACCCAAAGCAAGCTTCCTACGACTCCCATCCAGCGATGCAACCTCAAACGCTTCTATCTCGGCCTTGCGGCCTCCCAGTCCCAAGAATCTCTCCTCGTACGCTTGCTCCCATCCGCGGTAAATGGTGGCGTCCACTCTCGGGAGGCGTGCCACGCCAGCCTCCTGTCCGGCAGCCGGTGCGACGTCCGCGCCGTTCTCCTTGCCGAGCTCCGTGTTGTTTGCCGAGCGATCGCCACCTCGCAGGCCTGACACCTCGCCACCTCCGGACTCCATCGCCACCAACGTCCTCAACAACCCCCTGCACCTCTCTCCTTCAGCCACAGCCTCCTCTCTCCTCTTCACCAGCCCATTCAATTTCAGAGCACTCTCCTCTCCCTCTGTCTTCTCAACCCTCTCAACCTCTCTCTTCTTCGCCGCCTCCATCTCTTCATCGCTCTTCATCGCCATCAAGGCTTGACGGAATTCCAGAACTCGCTTTGCCTCCTCTTCAACCAGTGCCGCCTCTCTCTCCTTGGCCACCATGTGCTCCTCTTCGCGCCCAGCCACAAGCCGGTTGTACACGCGTTGGGTCTCGAACGCGATGAAGTCTGTCCACTCAGTCCCGGCGAAGTGAGAGTGCTCTCTGGTGGTGATGAGGTGGGCTTGGACGTCAAGCTTGTGGCGAAGGACGATGGCGTGGCCGTCGCTGGTAGACGGTGGGCAAGCGCTGTGCGTGATCAAGACGGTGAGTTCGTCGCGGAGGAGGTTGATCTTGGCAAGGAGAGCGGCGGAGCATGTGCAGTAGGTGGTGCGGAAGTCTGTGATTTGAGCTTTGGTGGGCTGGTGAGGTCAGCGGTGATTCGAATAGGAGGAGAGTGGGTGTTACCATTTGCGGGGTAGGATTGACAG